GAGCCTAGGACTTGCCGATCAGAAGGTCGGCGGTTCGAATCCCCGCGATGGGGTACGCTCCCGTTGCTCAGTCCCTGCTCCTGCCAACCTAGCAGTTCAAAAGCATGTCAAAGTGCAAGTAGATAAATAGGTACCACTCCGGCGGGAAGGTAAATGACGTTTCCGTGCACTGCTCTGGTTCGCCAGAAGCGGCTTAGTCATGCTGGCCACATGACCCGGAGCTGTACACCGGCTTCCTCGGCCAATAAAGCGAGATGAGCGCCGCAACCCCAGAGTCGGCCACGCCTGGACCTAATGGTCAGGGGTCCCTTTACCCTTTACCTAACCTAGAGAAAGTACCATTTCATAGACCAAAAACCTGAGATGGGAAGAGAATTTGAGGTGCATCCAATATTTGGAAGAAGGATGAGTGAAACTTCATGGTTCCCATGTGGAAAGTTTTGGTGGAGCCAGGACTCCACAATGACAAGGAAACCATTTCAGCAATACCCTCTCACCATTCCAGAGATGTCAGGAAGTACAATTCTAGGACTCTGCAACAAGAGAATGTGCCTTTTCTGTGGTGGCTCCGTGATTGTGGAATGTTTTCCCAAGAGAGACTCACCTGGTATCATCACTACATGTCTTTAGTCGCCAGCCTAAATAATCTATGGCCTGTGAAAGTGGGAGAGGACTGTTATTATAATGATCGTTCTACCCAGACACTGAGGTCCAGCGCCAAGGGCCTTCTGGCAGTTCCCTCACTGCAAGAAGCCAAGTTACAGGGAACCAGGCAGAGGGCCTTTTCAGTAGTGGCACCCGCCCTGTGGAACGCCCTCCCACCTGATGTCAAAGAGAACAACAACTACCAGGCTTTTAGAAGACATCTGAAGGCAGCCCTGTTTAGGGAAGTTTTTAATGTTTGATGCATTACTGTATTTTAATATTGTGTTGGAAGCCGCCCAGAGTGGCTGGGGAAACCTGGGCATAGTCGGCCAATCAGTGTTAAAGAAGGACAGAACTTTCTTTATGTATGCTACAACAGCAGCAAGAATACTTATTGCAAAACATTGGAAGACACAAGATCTACCCACACTGGAGGAATGGCAGATGAAAATGATGGACTATATGGAATTGGCGGAAATGACTGGCAGAATCCGAGACCAGGGAGAAGAGTCGGTGGAAGAAGATTGGAAGAAATTTAAAGATTACTTACAGAAATATTGTAAAATTAATGAATGGTAGAATGATGACGGATTGAAGTTAAGTGGTTTCATGCGGTAATGGTATAAAAGAATATGGAAAAATTGGTCTTTAATATCTAAAAATTTAATGTTATAATATATCAAGATTAAAGATCAGGATTAAAAAGGAGGGAAAGGAATCACTGGACTAACAAATTGAATTAGAATACAAAAGAGGGAGGTATGAGGAGGTCCGGGAAACAAGTAAATGTAAAAGAAGTGATGAAAAGATGGAATTGTTTTTAACTGCTTTTTCTTTTTTGTATTTTGTATTTTGCATTTTTCCTTTTTATTGTTAATTTTCTTATTAATGTGATCTTTTTCTTTTGAAATTTTAATAAATATCATTTTTAAAAAAACAGATGGGCGGCCTCCGGAAAATGGCGGAATTCCCTTCGAACTGAAGGGAACCCGCTGCACGGAGGCTTGGGTCCTGCCGCTACGGCGCAGCGGGGACCCTTAAAAACCACAGGCGGAAGAAGCCTGTGGGCGTGGGACTCGGCGGGCACCGAGGCGCTCTCTCCCCTTGTACAGGAGCCCGGTAACGGGCTCCGGAGTGGAAGGTGCGTGGTGCTGTGAGTCGTCTGCTTCCTCCGTGCAGCAAAGCCGCACTGCCGTTTCGGGAGAGCGCTGCCTTTTTCCTGGACAATTTGGCATCTAAAACATCTATCCGTGAGTACCCGATCCTGGAAGAGCTGAACTACTTTTAAGATTGGTGAATAAATAAATAACATTGGACTTGAACTTGAGATTGAATTTAATTGGGACTCGGAACGGAAAGGTCTAAACAGGAAGTCGCCTTCCGTTCTTTTGTTACGTGAAGAAAGCAAAGACAAATTATACTAAAGCTTGAAAACTAAATTCTGAGAGAACTAAAATTCAACATCTAAGATTTCTGAACCCCCCCTTTGATTGCAGGAGAAGAAGGGGGTTGTTTTGATCTTTTCAACCCTGCGGAAGTGAGTTTAAAATAAAGTAAGTTTCCACCGCCCTGAACCAGGAGCGGGCTGTCAGAACTGACGTTTTGAAGCTTATCCAGCTCGACAGATAGTTAAAAGAAGGGTAACATTTTGATTCTACTGTTGCCTCTTGAATTTGAAAGGGGGAATTTTGGATAAAGTGTTTCTGGAAAAAGAAAGATTGTTACTGTTGTTTTTCCCCCTCTTAAAATAAAAAAAAAGGGGGGGGTTTTCCATCTAGTGGAACTGAGTGAAATTGCAATGCAGAGAGTTTAAAAGAGAAGGATCATTCTCGTGGGAAAGAATTTTTTCTGACCTTGAAGGACAATGCTTGTACAAAGGCTTGAACAAGTGTTCCTGGAAGGTTTTGCAAAATTAAGTGCCCAGCTGGACCAGATGCGTCAGGAGTCGACCTTGATGAGGACGGAAGTTACCAGAGCACAGCAGCAAACAAATGAAATTCAGTTAAAGTCTATACAAGTATATGAACCTGCTGTAGCGACGGAGGCTTCAGAGATGGAGGGACCTATGGATGGGCAAGTTCAGTCTTTGAACTTGATAAATGAACTTGGGACAAACCTGATTCGGAAAGATGAAATGTGGTCAGATTTGGAAATGGGGGGATGGATTGACACCCCTCTATATGGTTATTTGGACTTTCCGAGTCTAGTGATGGACCATCAGAGGATTGGAGTAGTCGAAGTCTCCAAGTTTTGTGGAAATTGGAAGTGGTATTATCTGCTGTCTGGCTTGGGTAATGGGTTTGGGATGGACTTGCTGCAAAGAGTCAAAAGCATCTTCTTGCTGGAGTATCCACGACTGAAAGGGAATTATCAACAAGAGTGGCGAAAGGGGCAAGAAAGAGACTTGAGGGCCTCGGATACGAGACAACCAGGTTAAGGAGCCGGATTATTGAGGTTAAAAGGACTGACAATCCCGGGTCCAGGGGAGGAGGCTGGAAGTTGACTGGATTGAATCTGACTTATTGTTTTTGCTTTCTTATTTTTAATATTGGGAATGTTTATAAATGTTTGAAGGATGTTGAATGAAATTATATGACTTAAGTAAGGATTGGTAAATGATTTGAAAAAAGGTAATGATGTAAGAATTTGCTAAATATTGAATATAAGCTTTGAGTTTTAAAGTTTTTATATGACAAGAGGGAAAATAGAATAAGGAAACGCAATGATAGATTGTTATGAAAAAACAGAAAGGATTTGCTGTAAAAATTAAATACTAAGAAACAAGAGAGGGAAGGAGGAGGAAGTCTAGAAAGGAAGTTAATGGAGATCGTAAAGGATTTTATATTTCTGTTTTTCTGTTTTTCTTTTTTTCTTTTTTGTGGCTGGGGTTTTTCTTCTTTATTATTTCTGTATTATTTTTGTTTTATTTGTATTTTCAAACTTTTTTGGAAATTTTTGTTGTTACTTGTTACTTTTTGAAAATTTAATAAATATCAATTCTAAAAAAAAAATAATTAATAAATTATTATTATTATTATTATTATTATTATTATTATTATTATTATTTTATTACTTGGCAGTTTGTCAGTATTTTTTTTATTATGTTTTTATCACTGATGTTCTGTATTGTGTTTTAAATGTTGTACACCACCCTGGGATCTTTTGACAAAGGGTGGTATATAAAAGGTAAAGGGACCCCTGACCATTAGGTCCAGTCGTGACCCACTCTGGGGTTGCGGCGCTCATCTCGCTTTATTGGCCGAGGGAGCCGGCGTACAGCTTCCAGGTCATGTGGTATATAAATTGTAATAATAATAATAATAATAATAATAATAATAATAATAATAATATATTGTAGTCAGAGTCCTCTAGCAAATTGAAGAGGGAGCGGTGACATTATCCTGGGGCAGAAGTGGGCAACCAATCTCCTTCTTCAGTCTCATCTGTGTTCCTTCCAGTTTGTTTGCATTTCAAGACCCCCTAGCCACCCCCAGGAGAATAAAGACACAAGGACATAGATTTGAGGTTAATGTTAATGGGCAAAATTTAGGCCACAACTTTATTGGTTACAGAACGTGAGTGGTATTGCCTTAGGCATGGCATCCACAGACTGTATCTGACTCCTGCCCACCTTGCAGGAAGTCTGGAAGAGTAAACCACCAGTAGGGGGAGCCCTGCTGATGAGGATCGACGTCAGCCCCCATGGGTTTCTGCTTGGGTCGTGGCATGGCCCTAGCGATCCTCCGTTGTTGTTCAACAGGAATTCAGCAAAGGGGCTAGCGCCACATGGAAGGGAGGTGAGGAGGGAGATTACTGAAGCTGCAGGCTGAAAGAGGAGCTTCCAGAGTCGTGCCGTGGTTTAATTGGCCCCAGCCATGACCCCACAGCACCCTGATTGGTCGCCTGGCAAATGGCGTGGCCGGGACACTCAGCATGATGCAGGATGCTACCCGAGCGCAACCCAGTCCCGCTTGGAAGCAGAACCAATTTCTCCTCATTTTCCGTGACTTTCTAAAGCATTTCATCCTCTTTCTATATAGTTTCAGAACATTCGGAACAGGCAGGTTTTTATTAGATAGAAAATAATTGTGAGTAGTTGGTCCCCCCCCCCACTCGTCCTGGTTTTTTAGCATTCTGGGGGGTGGAGGCAGAGTGCATGTGTGCATATGTGGCACCCCAAAGTCTGAAAGGAATTATTTTCACTTCCTTTCCAGAACAGGAGCTCTATTGGTCTGTAGTTTTGTACCAGAAGGGTAGGATAGAAACATGTTAGTTAATTAATTAACTTTCTGTGTACTTTTCTGTGTACTTTTTTGAGAGCTATTCCATAAAAACCCAGTGGACTTCTGAGTATAAGGCTGTGAAGTCTATTCTAAGGTAGTCATGCTGAGTACCAAAGCAAGAGAATCATTATTCGGGATTATTCAAAATACTGTTAGCACAGTACCTCAGCTGTTATTGCTTATCGGCTTCTGAGAGCGCTGGATTTGGCAGGACCGTGCTACCTGCTCAGTTTATAATTGGGAGCTTATAACTGATTGTATTCCTTGCGCCAGACTTCAGGTAACTGGAAGTACAAATATTTCCATCCCATTCAGAATCATCAACAGTTTAAACCAAAAAAGCGAAAGGATTAGAAATTAGGTAAAATTAATTAAATCGTTTATGGAATAGATTTAGCCAGCTATTAGGATTGGGAATGCATAAAGTTCTTAACCTTTTGCTAAATGGAATACTAAGAAGTGGAATGTCTATCTGAGAATTCAACAGGTATAATAGTTTAAAAAGTACCTCATAACAGGTTTGTTAGCTGCATTGTCAGCCTTCTTCTGTTACATTGTATGACCAGCTGTCAGGCTTGCATCTTTTCTGTCCTGTGGGTGGTCTACCTCATAATAATAATAATAATAGTAATAATAATAATTGTCAAGGCTGCCTCAGGTCTCAGCTCACAAAAGACCAACGCCAATCTCTTCTTATATACAAAAGTGTTTATTGCAGTTCATTGCTTGCTTCATATCCGAGGCGCGCAGCCCCACGTCTGTACGCTTAGACCGTTGAAGTCCCCTCTGAGTCAGTCCCTCCCCTGCACCAGTTTAAGAGCCTTGCGCTGCTCCACCTCTTCCTCTCTTTCCTTTTCCGCAGGGTCTTCCTGCCCCCTGGGGTTTCGCCCCTCCTGGATTCCCCTGACGCGGAATCTCCAGACTGCTCTCCCCCCCTCCTGTGGGCTTTGGGACCTGGCCCCTCCTCCGGGCTCCCTGTACTTCCGCGCGCCTCTACATTTGAACTTGGCGCGCGCCCAACCTCTAACCTTCCTTTTGACAGTTACACTACTCCCTTCACTACTCCCTCCCCTTCCGGGAGGGTGGCTTGCTCCGACCTCCCTCCCTTCTCTGCTGCCGGAGCTGCTTCCCCTGATACACTGGAACCTCCACCCCCTTCGCTGCACTCTGGCGGGGAGGCTGGTCCTGACGCCCAGCTGCCACTTTGGGATCCCCGCTGGCCCCTGTTCCTGACACGTCCCCCTGGGGCTCCCTGGCCTTGACCACTGGCGCCCCTTCTGGGAATCCTCTGATTCGCTGGAAAGACTCATGGAATCTCTTGAGTCATTGTCATCCTCTTCCTCGCTGTCCTGGGATTCATCCCCATCGCTCTCCATCTCCTGCCTACCCTGTGCCTCTGTCCCTGAACCCCTGACAATAATAATAATAGTAATAATAATAATAATAATAATAATGTGCCACCTTTATGCCTGTAGACATGTTTTTATCTACTTGTTTCACTTTGTTTTATAAACTAAATTTTTAGAAACATAATTGGAGTGAACATCTGCATTCATCCGGTAGTAGCTTTGTATTTTTCGTGTGTGGACAAATGGAGTTAATGGTGGGTGCTTCTTAAATCAGATCTATATTGGGTACTTGTGACTGAAGATTTTCAGTGTTTGCACTGTTTCAGACATCACATTTCTAATATATATAAGTTATAAGTTCTGTTTCTCCAGAAAAAGAGGTGCTGCTACTCAGCATGAACGCATCCCTTTTTCTCTTAGAATGGCAATGACACCCACCTGAGAGATGCCGGTACTAAGTTCTGGTGAGCTCTGGCTGAAAAAAAAGCCCTGCATATAATATATACACTATCCATTTCATTGTATATTGTCCCCCCTTCTTTCATTCCCCCCCATACGCTACACTGTGCATAAATGGTAAATGCAGTGTATTTTTTTCTGGGCGTACTCAAGGATACACAGTATTGGCACCTTTTTTCCCTAGAAGAAAAGCACTGGATAAATGTATTATTCTTGCACCTCTTGTGCAAAAAAGCCTTATCAAGGGAGCCAAGCAGAATTCTCCTGTCTCCATCTAGTAATCTTCTAACACAAGATTACTTCATCAGCAGTTCACTACAAGCAGACTCCTTTCTGTGTCTCTCATAGAACATCCCCTCTTCCCTTATCGTTCCCTCCCTTTTGCATGTATTCTAATATGATTTTCATTTCATGCCTCTGCTGTACACACAGGGCTATTTATTCCATGCCAGTTTAGTCTGGCAAATCAATCTCTGCCCATTCAAATAAAAGAGAGCAGTCTATTTATCCCACCCACCCCACCCTCCGTCCCTCAGATTAAGTTATGCTATGATATACTGAAATGTTGTTGTTGTTTAGTCGTTTAGTCATGTCCGACTCTTTGTGGCCCCATGGACCAGAGCACGCCAGGCACTCCTGTCTTCCACTGCCTCCCACAGTTTGGTCAAACTCATGCTGGTAGCTTCGAGAACACTGTCCAACCATCTTGTCCTCTGTCGTCCCCTTCTCCTTGTGCCCTCCATCTTTCCCAACATCAGGGTCTTTTCCAGGGAGTCTACTCTTCTCATGAGGTGGCCAAAGTATTGGAGTCTCAGCTTCACGATCTGTCCTTCCAGTGAGCACTCAGGGCTGATTTCCTTAAGAATGGGCATGTTTGATCTTCTTGCAGTCCATGGGACTCTCAAGGGTCTCCTCCAGCACCATAATTCAAAAGCATCAATTCTTCGGCGATCAGCCTTCTTTATGGTCCAGCTCTCATTTCCATACATCACTACTGGGAAAACCATAGCTTTAACTATACGGACATTTGTCGGCAAGGTGATGTCTCTGCTTTTTAAGATGCTGTCTAGGTTTGTCATTGCTTTTCTCCCAAGAAGCAGGTGTCTTTTAATTTTGTGGCTGCTGTCACCATCTGCAGTGATCATGGAGCCCAAGAAAGTGAAATCTCTCACTGCCTCCATTTCTTCCCCTTCTATTTTCCAGGATGTGATGGGCCCAGGGGCCATGATCTTCGTTTTTTTGATGTTGCGCTTCAAACCATATTTGCGCTCTCCTCTTTCACCCTCATTAAAAGGTTCTTTAATTCCTCCTCACTTTCTGCCATCAAGGTTGTATCATCTGCATATCTGAGGTTGTTGATATTTCTTCTGGCAATCTTAATTCTGGCTAGGGATTCATCCAGCCCAACCGATATACTGAAAACCCATAAGCAAAACCACATCCCATTAGATTAAACAGCAGTGTATTCCAATCTTCCTAAACCTAATGCTCTCCAAATGTTTTGGACTTCAACTCCCATAATCCCTGTACATCGGCCATACTGGCTGGGCTGATGGGAATTGGAGTCCAAAACATATCTACTATGTTGGGGAGTGCTAATGTAGTTAACTGAAGGCAATGTAGGTATGAAGAAGGAATACAGCCCTGAGAAGTAGTGGCAGCCAGGGAAGCAAAAGGGCTTTAAAAAGTATCAAAGCATTTATTTATTTTTGCCAGTGTCCCCCACTTGCTTCATTTGGCAGCATCAGACATTTTGAAAACAACATTGAAATCAGAGAATAATCTATGCACCCCTAATTTTTATTTACAAAACTTCTTTTCAGCCAAAAGGCATTTTTTCCTGTATGTTTCACCAATCAGAAGCCTAGGAGAAATGGATAATCAAAACGTTGCCCTATCCCTCCTGTTGGCTAGACCATTCTACTGCTGTGCACCGTGTTAGAGGTCAAGTGAGGTATATTAACCTAATCCCCAGGTACAAGCGGCAGAAAGGGTACATTTTTCTATCACCACATGATTGGGGAAAAGCTAGCAACTGTGGAAATTATTCTATACGATGTAGAAATTCATAACTGCAAGGTACCAAGAGGCTGAGGTTATCTCTTTACAAAGCCTTGGGGATCTTTATGTCCAGCCAAACCACTCATTCTGTGATAAATTGAAGAGAGGAGTTATAAATGTGACCTCTGCTAAAAATGAAATGAAAAGTGATCGGAAAAGTAACAGTCACAAGTTGGGGCTGTCATCTGTTTTCTCAAAAGTTCGCTTCCTCTGTGAAAGAGGCTTCAGATTTGCTGCCTCTATCTCTGGACACGAGAATTTCTTTCACATTTTGGTGACATAGAAAAGGTAGATTTTGGCACAGCGTTGCCACATGTGGTTTTCTTTCTGCCAGTGGGGATCATGGACATTGAATTAGATACTCCGTGACCCTTGGTATAATATGGCACACTCTGCCATGAAAAAGATGCTATGCTACCAGCATCTTCACTTTCCAAACAGTTGAGAAAGAAGGCCTCTTTCATCTTAGAACTGCAGCCAACTGCTTCCTGGTCCTGGTCCCCAGGATGAGTTTTTCCCTCCTTTAAGCTGGAGGTAGGTTATCTCAGCACCTGCCAACCTGCTGTCTTTCAGATGTTTGGGACTACAGCTCCCATTAGCCCCAGGCAGCATGGACAATTGTAGTCCAAAATATCTGAAGGGCAGCACTAGATTGGTGATGACTGGTTAAGGGAATCTGAGAACTTCAAGCATTCTTCTGACTGTTCAACCTTGCCTCCTGATGAGTCTTTTTTATGAAATTTACAAATACAAAGTATAAATAAACACAAGCTAGTAAAAAACCTATCTGTATAAGGAGATTATCCGAGTCTCATCTTAAACATTTACAACTGCATCTTCATCCGTACTCCAATTTTTATATCAAACCATATTGTCCATAATAATTTTTACACTACAAGTGAGTCAAAATCCTGCTATTGTTTCCATCTGCTTACAGTGGTCTCCTAAATAACTTATAGATTTTTCCCATTCTTTTATAAGGTTTTTATACTCCTGGTTTCTAAGTTTTCCAGTCAGCTTTGCCATCTCAGCATAATCCATCAGCTTGGTTTGCCATTCTTCTCTGGTAGGGACTTTGTCTTCTTTCCAATTCTGGGCTAATAACATCCAGGTGGCCATTTCTCCATACATAAAGAGTCTTTTTCTGCTCCTTTGGTACGTCGGTACCTGTAATTCCTAATAAAACGGCTTCTGGTTTCTTAACAAAAGTTATTTTAAGCATTTTTTTCATTTCATTATAATATATCATCCCCCAGAAAGCTTTTATTACCTTACAAGTCCACCACATATGATGAAAAGTACCTTTTTGATGAGTTTTGAGCACTCAGATAGACCACTCTAAAGAACCCAACTCATGTTGAGGTGATTTTATTTGTCCTTCCTTCTGCATTTGATGTACCAATATAATTGTTATTTTAAGTACCAGAAGTGCTGGGTGTGTTTTACTGTGATTTGTTATGTGCCTCAAGCAACTAAGAAGAGGAATGTTAAAAACATTGCTATCGTTTTATTAGGAGCAGTACAATTTAAGGGGCAGGAGCTCAGATCTGAGGCTTGGACATTATTGGGGTTGATTTTTAACACCAAAACAATTAAATACTTCAAATAAATTTATCTAGGAAGCCAGAGTCCATCATTTCTTAGTGCTGCTTATTTAATTTTCTGGTTGGGATCGGATCTTTAAAGAGACTTTCTATTAACAACATTAAGTCCTTGAAATGAGGGCACATGCTGAGTTATGTGACTGTTAATGTCTGCAAGTGCCTTGAAGAGAGCAGGACTAGCATATTCTTATTAGTTGCTAAGTGTTCTATAGACTTCAAATGACTTATCATTGCATAGCCATAATTGTTTTAAAAGCATCTCATATAGATTAGCTACCACTTAAAGGCATCACCTGGAATTGACTGTAGCAAGAGAATTGAGCAATCTGAATTCATTCATCAGGAAGGTAAGTACAGCAATGGTTGTTATTGCAGGAAGGACAGGATTACACACACACACACACACACACACACACACACAGTCATACCTTGGATCCCGAACGCCCTGGAACTCAGACATTTTGGCTCCCGAATGCCGCAAACCCGGAAGTGATTGTTCCAGTTTTTTAACGTTCTTTTGGAAGCCAAATGTCCGCCAGGGCTTCAGTGGCTTCTGATTGGCTGCAGAAGCATCCTGCAGCCAAACAGAAGCTGCAATTTGGTTTTCAAATGTTTTGGAAGTCGAATGGACTTCCAGAACGGATTCTGTTCAACTTCCAAGGTCGTATTGCACTCTACACCTCATGAAACCAAAATGGCATGAACCACACAGGAGGTACAGTGGACGTTCGGGTTGCGAACATGATCCATGCAGGAGGCACATTCGCAACCCGCAGCATTCGCAACCCACAGCGCCATGTCTGCACTTGCACGGGTTGCGGTTCAGAGCTTCTGCGCATGTGCAAAGCACAATTTAGTGGTTCTGCGCATGCACGAGCACCAAAACCTGGAAGTAACCCATTCTGGTACTTCCAGGTTCAGCCCGGTGCGCAACCCGAAAATGCACAACCTAAAGCGTCTGTAACCCGAGGTATGACTGTATTAGTCAGTATATTGGTGTACAGTATAGAAAACCCTGCTTGTGTGTGGGGCGGGAGTACTGAAAGAGAATAAACAGGTTTGGATTCTAATTCTGAGCAGGAGGGAGAGTAGGGTGGAAAAGTGAGTGGACAGTGGAAAGAAATGGAGCTTCATGGAGGAGGGCGAGGCTCCCGCTTTCGTATTTCCTGTTAAGGTCAGAACCCCTGGGCTGCTGTGTGTTACCCTAGAACTGAAAGATATATCTCAGCACAAGGAGCTCTCCTGACTTATAGTCCTGGTGGCTCACCACATGAGGTGACAACATGAAGATCTCAGATTTATTGATTCTAACCCACAAGGCCTAGACACTTTCCTGTCCTGTATGCCTGTGTAGAAGCAAATTATTTTGTTGTGCTGCCAAAGTAAAATAGGCAGCAAAGCCATGGAATGTGGAAGCATGGATTGGTGAGTCCCCTGGCAACCTCAGTAGGTGGCATCTGGTCTCCCCTCCCCCCATCCTACGTTCTTCAGCTGGTGGTGGAAGGAAGCAGAATGGCAGTGCCATGGGTGGGGGGAACATTTACAGGGCTTCCATGCCCCACTCATGCCTGCTAAATCCGCTGAGTTTCCCATGGGACCAGTAAGCGTTTAAGCCCTATCAGAATCACCTGCCTGTTGGTCTGCTGCCCCTGCTGCCCTAGGTGTGCAATGTCATCCACTGCAGAGGACTAGCCAAGTTGTCCTTCCAAACCAGTATCATTCTTAAGCTTTGCTGCTACCTCCTTTAGGTGGGGTGCAATGCCAACCGAAACCAGTTTAAAGAGCCAAAGATCTGCTGATCTGCAGTGCTACTACTCTCTGCCCTGTTTGCTTTCATAAATCTGAATTTCTGGCAGCTTCATTTCATGGTGTTGCAACACTGGACTCCCAGGAGGCCGTAGAAGGTAAGGCTGAGCAATTTCATCATGTTTTAAGGTCAAAACACCTACCCGTTCCCGAAGGCAATGGAATAACAAATATAACCACCGGTTCCAATGTTCTGTACAAATCGAATCAACAGAGAAGGAATGGTTTAAACAAATAGGGAATATTTATCACACGAGCTACACTTGTTTTTATTTAAAAGAAGAAGGGGGAAGTGGTACCGTGCTCCATTTTCTGTTTTATGTTGCTACACAGACATTCTTCACTGCTAATGAGGGAACGGTTTTCATTCGGGCTCACTTTTTCATTTTGGAGCTGAACATGGCTTCTCTACGCTTGCAGGAAAGGCAGTTGCTAAATCCTAGTAGATTGGATGTATCTGTGAATTTAGGAGTGCAGTAATGGCAGAGAGACGGGGCTGGTAGTGTTATTCCAACACAAGTCAGTTAAAATATATAAACATGGAGTGGAAAACAAAGGCAGAGTGGCAAATTCATCAGGAAGGGTGTAAATTTAATTTTCGTTTTGGGCCTTTTTATGTGTTCATTATTCTGGCTCAGATAACAAGCTAGCAAGCTAACAGCCCAGTTCTATGCCTTTTAAAAAATATTTATTCCTCTCCACTGCTTGGACCTTGGAGTTGTCCCATTTTGTCCTCATGAAAGCAATAAAACAGGTGAACTTCAAACCGGTGATGGATGCAGAATTTAGTAGCAGAGGAAGGAACAGTGTGTTACACAAGGCCAGGCTATTTGTCCATCTAGTCTACTCTGACTGCCAGTAGCTCTCTGCAGTCTGAGGTAAAGGTCTCCCATATCACCTGCTATCTGGATCCTTTTAAGTGGAGATGTCATAGAGTGAGCCTGGGGGTTTTTGCAGAAGCACAGCAGCCCAAGGTGTTTTGACAAAAAAAAGGTCTTTCTCAATGACAATGGTCTATTTCAAAGAACGGAGTCCTCTGAGATGTATCAGAATGTGTCTCCATTTTCCGTCATTTACAATGTTTTCAGCAGTTGAGATACCTGGCACCAGTTTTTCAATTCCTTGGACATTTTTGGTGCTGTCTTCCTTCACTTTCTTTTTGTATTTTGTCTTCCAGGTACTGCATGTAACCATGAACCTGTTTTTTGAATGAGAGGAAGGTACGTCAGAAAAGACAGCTCCAAGCTATCCCAAGGTTGAGGGGGAAACTACATGTTACTCTGTATTCACAGCAGTATTTATTGTTTCTTCAATTAATTTTTGCACGTGCTCTGGTCCATGGGGTCACGAAGAGTCGGACACGACTAAACGACTAAATGACTAAACAACAACAACAAAATCATAACTATTGAGCCACAGTAACCCAGAGCAGATCTTGGGTGTGACTGGCTGTTTTTCTGTGGCACAGCATCCCTGTTTATATACAACAGGTGCCCACAATCTGCATTTTCCAGAAACATTTTAATTTAAAAAAATTCTCAACAAGCTTTTCCAGCTGGATGAAAAGTTTTCTGCTTTAGGTAATCATCTTGTATGGTTTTGTACATACCATTGTTTGTTGTTTGTATGGCTGTTCAGAATTCAGAACCAAACCAACCAGGCAATCTGCAATTTCTTCCTTTGTCCAAACTGGGAAACTGTGGTTTCCAGCTTCAGACCAAATCAGAATATTAATTCAGAGATGGAGTTTGGATTATGTTGGATTGTTCAGAAACTGGTAACCTAGTTTGAATGAAATGGAAAACTACAGTTAATTAGATACTGCTTTTAAATAAGCTTACATCACAAAAGGAGGGATGAAGGGGCTGCATATACAGGCCAAAGACATTCATATCTTGGCTTATTAAGCCATTTTTATTATGGGTGCAAGATAGTGTGTTTGTCTAACTCTCAAGGAACTAAAATGGCTATATCAAAACCCTTCCTCACTCCCTTGCAGTTCTTCAGACATTTCTCTTAAACAGGACCATTCAAATTTACCTCAACACTGTGCTTTGGAGGAAATTTAGTGGCACATTTAGTAAACCAGGACAACTGGCAATGCTTTCCGTTATAAGGGAACTCCAGCCAGATACTATGAGTAACACATTATCTCGCTATCGGCTGGTAGGAGGAACTCCCCCCTCCCTGAATTATACCTTTTAATATTTTCTACACATTCAAAAGAATTGCTAGTGGTCCTAGAGTAAAAGCAAGGCCTTTGTAGGAAAACATAAAAAGATGGAAAAAGCCACCCAGAAGATGTCACAGCTCATTAAAGATGCAAATTAAAAAATGTCCAAAGCATGGAGATTTGCTTAACCTTTTACCAATGTCTAAATCCTTAATATGATACTTATATGTCAGCTGGTTTGCCACAGATCTAATAAAGAAGCTTCTTCAAGCATTGCTACAAGGAGAGCTGCTTGGATCCAGGGCAACATTTTAAGTGCTTTTATCTGAGAGAGAGAGAGAGAGAGAGAGAGAGAGAGAGAGAGAGAGAGTTAAGCTAGCTTATTTGCCCTAGGAACTCTCCAGGCCAAGAATGTCAGGGTCACATTGTGCTGACCCAGCAGTGAGAGAAATGTACCTATATTCATTCATATAGTTCCCAAACTCAGTCTTGGTATTGACTTTGTGGCTGAGCTATGCACCGTCTGAAACCAAATGGAATTTGTGTTTTCCCTAAGGTGGGCTATTGTGTCCTTGTACATCCGGTGTGAGTTCGGTGTCCGGTGTGAGTTCGAGAAAGGTTTTTATTTTGCTTTAAAGTAACTCAGCATACAGTTCAGGATCACCTTCTCACGTGCCAAACAGTGGGCTGTAAATCTCTGACAATGTAAATTAGTCACTAACTAAAATAAGAAGACATGATTAATCACTTCAGAGACTACCTGGCAGAATTACAAGTCAGTGACTATAATATTACTTACTGACATATACCCTACAATAATTCTGGCACACACTTCATCACCTGGTATTGCCTAAAACGTAATCCTTATGAACTGAAAAGTGGCAAAAATGGTCCCTGAGGTGTCCTGTGATTACTCCAAAACAGATAGGGGATGAAAGAATGCTGCCAATATGCATTTCAAGTCATCAAATGTTAATTTTATTCATGATTTATAATATTTCTGAGTAATGTGCCCCACATGTATTCCTTTTTATTTATAAGACTGATTTTTATCTGAACAAATAAAACCTATCTCAAAGCCATAACTCTTCTGTGTTAAATTTTTAAGTGTATTTCCCTCTGCCAGATTTGATATTGTTGTATTTTATGGAGCAATGTTTTTAATTGAATTTCTGGTTCCTCATTCATAATGTATAATATTTTACAGCGTTTTATGTGCATGGATTTGCACAGTAATTTACAGGATGCAGCCATAAACTACCGTGCTGTGAGGAATGTGACGTAGACTCTTGCCTCTTGAATGTCACGAAACAAGCCAATTTCAGCAGTAAGAAATACAGGAGGCCTTCCTAGAGTTAGTCAGGGACAATATGCCTTGGTCATCGGGGGGACTTAAGAGGTGCTCCAAAACAGATTATTAGCTGCCTCTAGACAGCTGCTGTGTTGTAGAAGGGATTCAAACACATAGCAGAAATTTAGGATAATGCAATTCAAGTGTTCTGTCACATAGCACAACAGATACACTCTTTTTAAAGGAAAACCTGAGATTTTGTGGTTAGGAAAGTGAAAAGCGCTGGAACATTTGGGATGACTGAATCATTAACAGGGAGACTTATAAGTACTCAGCTAGCAAATCAGAATCACACCCTGCAAACAAATCAGAACGAGTGATCCGTAAGGCCTACATACCATTTAACTTCTGCATAATATTTGTGCAAGAAGATCAGGATGAATATTGACTAAACAGGTGATCTGGAAGAACCCAATACCAATAAATGCAGAGTTATAAAGAACAACAACCAGAGTGCTTATATATGAAGGGACTGCCATAGGATACTATATAGAGCATAGTCAGAAGGACATCTTCCGGAATACAGTGGTGCCCCGCAACACGAATGCCTCACAAGACGAAAAACCCGCTAGACGAAAGGGTTTTCCGTTTTTCGATGCGCTTCGCAGGACGAATTTCCCTATGGGCTTGCTTCGCAAGACGAAAATGTCTTGCGAGTCTTGAGATTTTTTTCGTCCCCCCCCCCATTTTTCTAAGCTGCTAAGCCGCTAATAGCCTTTTAGCCGCTAAGCCGCTAAGCCGCTAAGCCTTTAATAGCCGCTAAACCTCTAATACTGCTAATCCGCTAAGCCGCTAATAGGGTTGCTTCGCAAGACGAAAAAACCGCTAGACGAAGAGACTCGCGGAACGGATTAATTTCGTCTTGTGAGGCACCACTGTAGTTCCTGGAGCAAGCAAGGGAAGGAGGGCTTGACAGGGATATGGAAGGGGCACACAAATATCAGAGGACCACACCTGGAGTACAGTGTCCAGTTCTAGATGCCCCAATATAAGAAGGATATTGACAAGTTGGAATGTGTGGAGGGGAGGACAGCCGAGACAATGTAGGGTCTGGAAACCGAACCTTATGAGGAATGGTTGAGGGAGCCTGGAAAAGAGGAGACTGGGAGGAGATATGATAGCCATCTTCAAATATTTTGAGGGCTGTCACACAGAGGATGGAGCAAGCTTGTTTTCCCCTGCTCCAGAGGGTAGGACCTGAACCAATGGATTCAAGTTACGATGAAGGAAATTCCGACTCAACATCAAGAATAACTTTCTAACAGTAAGAGTTGTTCAACAGTGGAATGGACTCCCTTGGGAGGTGGTAGACTCCCATGGAGGTTTTTAAGCAGAAGTCATGGATGCTTTAGTTGAGATTCCTTTATTGCATAGGGTTTGACTAGATGACTCTCAGGATCCCTTCCAACTCTACGATTTATGATTCTATGAATACATAAATAATAAGTCATTAATCATCAAGCTGGGCAGTTTTCCAAGTAGTCAAGAGTGTCCACAGCATACATGTCAATTGTTGTATCACAAATTAATTTTAATGCAAGAAGAATAGGGGGACTAGGCCCTTGTCAGAGTTCTGTTGGAGGAAACACCCCAAATACACACGCACAACCCCATTTCCTCCTGCACAGATATGGAGCATCTGCTGAGGAAGTCTGTGGGGGTAGACCTCCTTCTTCATCTATGGACCTTCCTCTCTGCCTATGGAGAGGGAAGTGTGCAGAATCTCACAGACCCAGGGATATCCTCCCAGGGTCCATAGGATCGTGACCAAAGAAATGCCACCTTTCTGGGTGAGGCAGCTTACAAAGCATAATTAAAACATTAGAAAGAGACCCAATTACAAAAATGAAAACAGCAGGAGTGCCAAAGCTCAGCACAACAAATTGCAGGTTGAAACAAAAAGCATGTTTCAAAGGTAACTAATTAGCATTACAAGTGAATCAACTGAGACAATTAGATTCTGAGTGCGTTAAAAAATATTCAATGCCTTGCACACTAGTTAGCCATTTGGAAATTACATTTTAAAAATGAGAGCATCAAATATAGCTATTGGCTCGTGTGTGTGCCCGCTACTGTGCATAGGGGTACTGTGCTTCAGGAAGCTGTGGCCCTCCTCGTGTGTTTGGGTGGCAGCGGCGGTCAGCTAGCAAATAAAGGTGTGGAATGAAAAGATGCATATCTGTTGGTTCCGCACTCTTTCAGTCCCCCTTGGCTGAAATCCCGGGTCATCCCAGGGTGGAATCAGAAGCTGGGGTAGCTTCTGTAACTCCAGGGTTGTCCCAGTAAAAACAGGGCAGTGGTGTAGTATGGTGGTTTGTTATAAGTGCTGAGAGATGTTAGGAGGCCCCTTCTGCCCTTACAGAGCTACAATGATGAAGCATTGATTGTAAGTATTCTAGAAATTGTAGCTCTGGGTGGATGATGGGAGGAGGCAAAGGATCGTGCCAAGGTATATATAGTTTGGGATTCTGCCTCCAAAAGCAGTCAGTCATGCCTAATGGGATGCTCCCAAACAGGGTGTGCTTTGATAGCCATCCCTAGTTGTTGGTGCGTAGCCTCTACACATCATGTTGCCAACAAAGGTCCGTATAGTTAAAGCCATGGTTTTCCCTGTAGTGATGTATGGAAGTGAGAGCTGGACCATAAAGAAGACTGATCGCTGAAGAATTGATGCTTTTGAATTATGGTGCTGGAGGAGATTCTTGAGAGTGCCATGGACTGCAAGAAGATCAAACCTATCAATTCTTAAGGAAATCAGCCCTGAGTGCTCACTGGAAGGACAGATCGTGAAGCTGAGGCTCCAATACTTTGCCCACCTCATGAGAAGAGAAGACTCCCTGGAAAAGACCCTGATGTTGGGAAAGATGGAGGGCATAAGGAGAAGGGGACGACAGAGGATGAGATGGTTGGACAGTGTTCTTGAAGCTACAAACATGAGTCTGACCAAACTGTGGGAGGCAGTGGAAGACAGGAGTGCCTGGCGTGCTCTGGTCCATGGGATCACGAAGAGTCGGACATGTCTAAACGACTAAACAACAACAACAACAAGCCTCTACACATGGAGATTCCATTTGGCTTTTCACAACTGTTGCGTGTTAGATCCCAAGACCTCCCTCCTTAAATAAAGACACATTTGACTCAAATTTTAGTTTTGGTTTTTGGCAGAATTTAGACCACAACTTTATGGATTACAGAAAAGTGAGTGGCTGCATAGGCTCAGGTTCGACTAGCTCCCTACACCCTTGCAGGTAGCGCTGACCCAGAGCTCTATCACAGGTCAGCCAAGGGTGAACACTTGAAGAAGGTGAAAAGCCTGGGAGCAGACACTGTTCACTCCCCAAATGCTCCCCTGGACTCAGGCATGGGCACAACCCTCTTTCACGGGTTGACCAAACCAAGTTGAGTCCCTGGATTCCTTTAACAGAATACCCTTCACATAGGGATAGCGAGACCGTTCTCCCATCCCTATCACCACAAACAGTGCCTATCCACAACCTTACAAGTTGTGATGATTTGCTGCATGGCAGGCGAAACCCAAATGGCCCCAGCCAATCAGGCAAGTGGGAAAATTCCTGCCGTGCCCCTGTCCCAACGACAGACGACACACGACGGCCTAGCAAGGTCAATCGCAAAAGACCCTAAATATAGGGAGAGGTGAGTGGGTGTTCCAATGCATGAGCCGAAAGAGGAAGCTCTGGGTCACATGCATGGGTATATATATAGGCCCCTCGATCCATTTGCACTGCAACCCATTGGCCAGATCGAACCCATCATTGAGGGACCTCCAATTGGGTGTTGTGGCTATCCAAAAAATCCCACCCACAACCATGAGGTCAGTCTCAGAGATCTCACCGCAACACATGGCCTCTTTGAGGGAGGACACGATTTATCCACCAACAGACCCACCTTCCATGCCAATCTATTTAAGTGGTTTTAAAAGCCATTTAAGATTGTGCCCATTGCCACATGTTGTCTAAGTTTACTATTTTTAAACTATTATGTGAAGTGCTTCCTTTTGTCTCTTCAGAATGAACTACCTGAAATTTCTTCTTTTTTAAAGCAACTATGCGCCTCTATTTCTTGCATTTCCATTTCATTTTGTGACCTTTGACCTCCTCTGTTTCAAGGGCATTGCAATTTAGGAATGGCAGCCACAACAGCATCAGCAGGAGGAATCGCAGTATTAGCAGCAGCAGGTATTTTGCCGGAGCTGCTTTGAAGAATATTTCAGTAATGAAAGGGATAATTGGGGCTCCCTGCCTCCGCTGTAATTGAAAACCTAGCATAGTGCCTTTTCCATTTAACTTTATTGCTTGAGTTCAAATCATTGTGCAGTTGAGAAAGCAGGACCAGAATAATCTAATGCTTTTGCTCTGGGTTTTTCTTTCTCCCTTTGACCATTTATTCAAACCTAGCATTAGCATGAAACAGAGGACACAATGAGAGATATGTGCCGTTTTTGCAGTTTGAGAGAACCATAATCATCAATTTCATTACAGGAAATGCATCTTTCACCAAATACTATTTGCTTATTACTAAGTTGGGTGACCAAGATTATGCCCCTTAAAATGGGAAAGTAGCAATGGGTTGAAAACAATGATCCTCGTAATTTTAGATAAATCACACTCCAGTCCCCTTGTCTGTGTTATGAACATAGAGAAATAAAGTAATGATCAGTGACAGGTTAAAGTCTCTGTTTGGGTCTGTGGGTTCATGGTCCTATTCATTACTCAGTGAATGTTGTTACAAACATTATCGTCTCAGGGCCACCAATTGCCTCAGGGTCAACCGTTGACATTTCACCCCTCATACAGTGAACAAAACGTGTGAAGAGGTGAAGCCCACTGGGCGGTAGGAAGGGACATATGGTCCCTTAGAGAAATACATTATGGCCAATAAACAGACATATCATTTTCCACTGCAGTTTAGATGGAGCTGGAATTTTCCCTTCTTTTATATTTCCCATTTCTTTTAGTCAAGGTGCTTAGATAGTATTCTAAAGGACTCCAAAACTAGGATCCCCAGCAATATTTTCTTGTCCTATAGCAGGATCTGGTGTTTTTGGACTCCAGATGTTATTGGACTCCTACCCATCAGCCTCAGTGGCATTGCCAGTGGTCAAGGGTGATGGGGGCAGGAGACCAACAACATCTGAAGTAGCACAGGTTTTTGTAACGGTTTTGTAATGGAGTAGGACTCTCTTGTTTAATTCAAAGGAGAAAAAGCTTTGTAGGTAATAATGCTTGACCTATTTGCTAGAGAATTTAGGGTGCAATCATAATCCCTGATTGGCAGTGGCAGGGCTTGGTGGAATAGGCCCACCAGTTTGTGCCAGTCTGGGCAGAGGTTGAGAGGGGAGAGGAGACGAAAAAAGGCTCTTTGCTTCACTAGCTCCCAGGCTGGATGTCAGGGAGTCAACAAGGAGAACACTGGGCTAACTTACAGTTGGTTTCTTTATTAAGGAAAGCAGAACAAAGAACACAGAGAGACTTCTCAACATTGCTCCTGTCTTGATGAAGCACTTGTCTTGACTGACTTGTAGCTCTCCCTTCACTCCATAACCCTCTGTGTTGGGCCCCTCCTGCTGTCTACTGCAAGCTGCAAGGGACCCTCTCTGTGTCTGCCTGACTCTCTGCTTGGTAACATGCAATAAACATCTCATGGGGGGGGGCGGGCTTGCAGGCTGTCAGTAGAGAAGCTGTCAGAGTGGCTCTGTAGTAGAACGGCCAAGTCTGATTCTTGTCTCTCCCCTGTGCTGGGGCACTTGCCTGTTTCCTCCTCCTCTTCATCATCTTCCAAGCTCCCAGCTTCCAGTACTTCCCAGCCCGTCCCTTCCTCTGGGGTGTGGCTGGTTTCCCACCACCAGGATCCAAATCCTTTACCTCTGTGCTTTCCCGGGGGGGGGGGTGTGTTTCATGGTCAGGTGACATCCACCATTCCTCCTCATCTAGCCAGTCCCTGACGTCAGCACAGTAAATAATGTTACTGAGAGAACTGAGACTTTTGCCGTCCTGTGACAGCAGCACTGTCTGCACAAGATGCAGCAGATCTTGTGATGGAACAGCCCCAGCCCCTGTCTTGGGGGGTTCAATTGGCTACTGTTTGGGTGGATGCACTGAGGTGCTCTTTGCCAGAAAGACAGGAATGAGTGGAGAGATTTCTGGTGCATAAGGTGCCATCCCTTCGATCTCTCCTGACTCCAGCACCAGACTTTCTTGGGAATAGATTGGGCTATTTCCACCAAAAGAGCTTCTTCCTAAGCCTATCCAGTTTCCATTAAATGTTGAAGGAGAGTAATTATACCACTTTTCTATGTCTTGGACTGCATGCATTATGTGGGGTGGTGTCCAATATGTCTCAGAGAGATGGAACTGTTCGCTATTCCTATCATGGAAAACTCTGAGCATCAGCAGCACTGAGTAGACAGTCATATGAAGACATGTAAGCGACATTTCTGCACCTGTCCTGTCACCCCTTTGAACAGCTTCACTCATCACTTCTGCAAGGAAGACTGACTTCTGTCACATGTGACAAAACAAGTTGTCTCTGGTCTCTGCATGAGGCTAGAATGGAACTATTCTGTCAGATGAATTGTGTCATGAGCAAATTGCCAGCCACACAGAGTACTTTACTTCAATATAGTCGGGCAATTCTGTCCTGTTCTGGGGTTTGAATCATAAGCGTCAACATGCGACGCTGGTTCCCTTCTCATTGGACTTCTGCTGGACCATAATGGAGAAACCGAAGGTATAAATTCAGATGCTAATTCTGGAGGTTTCTAAAGCGTACTGGAGGCTGAACAAGTGTTCCTGCACAAGGAAAGCTATTTAATTACAAATTATGGAAAAAAATGCACATCACTTTGCAAGTGCAAATAGGAAAAGCTATATATCTATATCCAGTGCTATTTTTCTAGAAAAAGAGGTGCAGGAACTCACCATGAACACTTCTCTCATTCTCTTGGAATGGCAATGGCACCCACCTGAGAGATGCAAAAACTGAGTTCCTGAGAGTTCCCCCTGGAGAAAAGACCATATCTATATCTATATCATCTCTCTCTCTCTCTCTCTCTCTCTCTCTCTCTCTCTCTATCTCTATCTCTATCTCCATCTATCTATATTGAACCAAATGTAAACTGTTCTGGAAGCTCTGCAAATGCCATATTAGTAGTCAAGATAACCCCACAATTCATTGGTAGAGTCATAGAATCATAAGCTTGGAGGGGACCACGGGGATCATCTAGTCCAATCATCTGCAATGCATGAATCTTTTGCCCAATGTGGGGCTTCAACACACAACCATGAGAGTAAGAGTCTCATGCTGTACCGACTGAGCTTGTAACTATGAGCTCATATATGTTTATATTCACTTGCTTTGATAAAAGCTACTTGGCTTGCTTGGGTGTTATCGTTATCTGTGAGCTTTGGGTGCTGAGCCCAGAAAGGGGAACTATATGAAAGACTTGGGTATTTGCCACCTATAGCCTCATCTGGTTAGGTGAAGTGATGGGAAGTCCTGGCGAAAGTGATGTATGCTACTTTGTATATTAAGAATGCATTAATGTTTGGTTGGGCCATTGCCTTGCTGTGGTGTACATCCTGTGTCTGTAAAGGCAGGCTGATTTGCTGTAAGTCCACACCTTTCTTTAATAAAGCACTAGAACTGATCCCTCTGATGTTTTTGACATCCTTTTCTTGCATCCCTGCACCCAGCCACTCCACTCTCACTCCTTTGGGCTGCAGTTCAGACACTATTTTATGAATGTTAAAGTTTAGGAAAATGTCTACACATCTGGATAAAAGATCCACTGCTCTATAACCAGCTGGGACTTACCAGATTGTGTCAAACAGATACTGGACTTGTATTGCATTTCCTCTGCTTCAAACACAAAGCAGTGCAATATAACCACTAGCACATTTGCAAAAGCTAAGCAGGGTCTGGTATAGTTTCGAACATTCACAGGGTCTCACTACTCCAAGAGTTGCTTAAGAAAATCCATTTTACTATTCATTACAAATCTAATGCTGTCACCACTGTGAGTCAGATTGGACCTTAGTTTAATATCAACTGGTTGTGAAGAAATGAACAACTCAATAATTTGTTCTTGTCTGGGTAGTCGCATTTAGCTAGGCTCTGAGGTTTACCTAAGTTTCATAGCTTGTGTGAACTTCTCTCAAGCATGCCCACCACGGTTGCAAAATACGGAAAAGCAGCCCCTTTCACTTATAATGAAAACACTATACGTGTTTTCAGATTGTTGTGGTTACACGAATGATTGGCTAGATGTAATCCGAATATTGTTTATTATCAATTTAAATCATTTTTGCCATGCTTTTCAACCGAAAAGGCTCCTAGAGGGCTAGAGTGGCTAACATGTGAGCAACAAAAATAATACAGTCACTGTCTGCAGGCTTACAGGCTAAAAAGCATGACACAAAAGGAGCAAGGTATAGGGAGGGAAGAGGAAAACAAGCAGATTCAGAAGCCAGTTCTTATCATTGTATATGAACATTGCAGTTCATATAATGAACAGCTAAACTGGAGGTAGATAAGGGAAAGAAGGAAACAAATGTAGCTAATCTTTTAGCAGAACTTAGGAAGTGGGCCCTGATTCCATTCTTTCTCTCTGCTGTATCCTGATGGGATGGCTGTTGTCCATTGACCATGTTGGTTATCATTGTGTCTCTGGTATGCTAGCCCAAGTATGAGCTCAGATGCTGCCTCCATTTGCTCTTGGGTGCTTGCAGAGGGCTGCTATGAATGTGAACTGGAGAAGTTAAAGCAGCATCCCCATGGTTTTCTGTAACATAATCAGCATTTTGTAGATTTGTACAAAGGGTTTTCACTGCCAGAGTTCCTCAGTGCCTCCTCTGCTTCAACCAGCAGTTCCAGAAGTCAAGGTGGCTGTTGCAGATGAAGCAGGGAATGTTGGTGAGTGGCTTGGCAGATCCCTTCTGAAGGGATTCCTAACAGGCTGAGTAGGGGTGGGGAAACAGGAGAAGGCAATAGGAAAGTGCAGCCATAGCCTGAACTCTAATCCTTGCAGGATACAGAACACTCAGCTGTGCTCTCCTGTATGCCAGACAGATCCAGAAGTAAGTACAGCCCCCCAAGAACAAAGACGCAGGGATCATACCCTCCCAGTGTACTGTTTTAAGCGGGACATCCTAAATCACAGAAGTCAATCCTGGCTTCTGTTTGGATCCTGGAATGCCCCATTATTTTAGTCCAGTGCTCTGGTGCGAGTCCCTGTGCCAAAACACCAGACCGAAAGACACTCACTCTGGCATGAGTTTGCAGGATCATCCCAGAGCTCTGGCACTTCCACCAGACTGGAAGGTATGACCCTCCTGACATCTCAGATTTGCTCTGGCCCGAGCTCTGGCACTTCCACCAGACTGGAAGGTATGACCCTCCTGACATTTACATTTGGGGACAAAAATGTTGGAGGGTATGAGGGAGATGACTTGGCCTCTGGCACCCACTCTCTCACTGTGCAGGAACATGCACCTAAATGGTTTCACATCCTTTGGCCAGAATTAAGATCCAGACAAACCAGGCAAAAGGAGGGCAGAGGCCATAGAGGCCTTAAGGATTAGACAACTTTCCCTTTCTTTTGTGGCTTGGGTTGGGAGAAAGCTGCTTGACCAGTGTGGCAATACCAGAGGAATAGACTGTAGTAGTGGAGTCTACCTCTGTTGTCAGGGCCAATATGCCTATAAATACTAGTTGCTGGGAATCACAAGTGAGCAGAGTGCTGTTGCTCTCCTATCCCATTTGTGGACTTCCCGCGGGCATCTGGTTGGCCACTGTGAATCAGGAGCGAGACTAGGTAGACCTTTAGCTTTTCTTACGTTCTTATGTACCAGTGATGTAAGCCCCCTGGTTAAAGTGACTTGCATCAATAGAGCTGGCCCATTTTAAAACCTATTGTATTCCTGTTAATAAAATCAAGTTGTGCGTGGGACAGGCTAGCCGCTGACTTGGAAGTCCCTCTGAGCAAATATTGTGCCTTTTCACTCCTAGAGGCTATTTTGCTCCCCATCTGCAGCTTTCATAAACGAATCTAGTTGAATAAGCCAATCTTTCCAATATACTTGGGAATGCTTTGACTGCTGTGAGCATTTTATAAGTTGCTGTATAACACCGCAGGTACCCACGATATGCCACAGTGCAACAGTTTCTCAACTAAGCAATGGGGCATGCAAAATTTCACATTGTTAGACCTGTCTGCATTGTTGGCTTCCAGTCATAAATTAAACAATGAATGGTCAAATATTGTGGCACTACAATCCAAAGTATATTTTCTAGCACACCCCCTTCTATTTTAATGGCACTGCATTCAAACTAAGGAACTGTGGATTCCAGCCAAAGCATTAGGGGGCGGGGGGCAGATTGAATCTGACTGAATTTCAGGTCAATTTAGGGTCGTTTCGTGGGAAGTACACAGAATAATCCAGTCATCCTTCAATGGTTTTCCATTACAGAGTCAATACAGCAGCAGAGGTCATAATCTTCGGAACTTTTTTCATTTGTGTACTTGATGTATGATGGAAACATTGCGAGTGAACTATGCAGGTTTCCACCTCAGAAATGCCATTCTGGAAATGTACAACCCATTCATGAACACATTCATTTGAAATTGAATTCGGCTCACCTTGATTCAACAGAAAGAAATCTATGGCCGCTGGTGACTTACTGACACCCGTAGGTTTGGCAATGACCACTGCTCAGTGGCAGAGCAGTTACTCTGCACCCAGAAGGTCCCCAAATGGACATCCCCCCCCCGGCCTGAAATCCTGGAGGGTCATTGCCAATCAATGGAGACAATGTTAAACTAGATAGACCAATGGGCCAACAGCATAAGACGGCTTACTATATTCCTGTTATGGGATCTGAAAACCCCACTCCAAAAGTTGAGGTTACAGTGGAATTGTCATGACACCGAACATTTGTACCGGGGTCAGGGGCATACAAAGGGGGGGGCGCAGGGGGTGGTCTGCCCCGGGCACCACTCAAGGGGTGGGGACTGTTAGGGTGTGAAACCTAAGACGCTGGCAAGTTAGCAATGTCATGTGACTTTAAGTAGTCAAGCTCGTTAAGTTGTTAAGTTGCTCAGTATATAAAGTGTGTTTGTTTTCTCTGCCTGTGGGGTGTGAAGCAAAAATGTCTGAAAGCTCCGGAGGTATTTCTGTTATCTTTCTGCAATAAACCTGTCTTTGGAAAGACAGGCTTCCCTGTGTCGTTATTTCTTTGCTGCTGAGACTCTGAAGCTTGTACTGCAACAAGAATCTCTGCACTGGACTTAATTAATACTCTGCAAAGAGAGCTGTTGCTGGTGGCGCAGCGGAAGCGTTTACTGGACCAGTACACAAACTCTCTTAGGTTATGGATCCTTCTACGTTTCTACAGCTGTATTGTGTGCAGAGAAAGTGAAAGCAGCTTTCGGATGAGAGAAGACCGGCTTGGTCGTAAATCCAGCTCTTAAAGGCTTCAGAGGAGGCTGGAGGCGTCTGAAAAGTGAGTAAAACAAATCCCAAGGGGAAAAAGAAGAAAGGGCACACAGAGGGAGTAGCAGCAGACCCCAAGAATGGCAGTGGAAAATTTCCAGGTTCCCTTTACAAAGTTGAACTCTGCAAATTACGTGCAGTGGTCTAAGAGGGCTCAAGTCTGGTTGGAAGCCAAAGAAGTGTGGGCTGACTATGTCCAGAGGCGAAAGCCGTTTGTGGCTGTTGCAGCAGATGCCACAGCAGAGCAACAGGCTGCTGCACATGCTCAGAATAGGGAACATGATAAAATGGACACTAAAGCTAGATGCATGTTGATGGTATCGATAGACGATTCCCAATTACCTCATGTGGAAAATTTAAGGTCTGCATTTGAAATTTGGGAAGCTCTTAGGCGAATTCACCATAGAGCCACGCCCGGAGAGAAGGTGAACATTATACGTGCTTTGTATGAGTTGAAACTGAAGCCAGGGGATAGTGTGGTTGAACACACGTCACAGATGACTGAGTATTTCAACCGACTGTCATCTTTAGGTGTGAATTTTCCTGAAAATATTAAAGTTTATACTCTGCTTAGCAGCCTGCATGCAGGGTTTGAAAACTTAGTACTAACTTTACAGGTTTTGCCAGAGGACCAGCTGAATATGAATTATGTGACTGGTAGATTGTGTGAGCAAGAATATCAACATCATCGAAAACGTATTGATAATTCAAATACCCCAAGGGTTGGGTGTTCAGATAATTCCCAGCGTGGGGAAACTAGCAGGCAGAGCTGTAAGGAAGCCTCACAAGTGTCTGCTATGGCCAGCAAGTCATGTTTTCGATGTGGCAGCAGGTTTCAT